GTCTGGTTGGCAAATAGACCAAAGACAAGTTTGTTTACTTGAGAACTTTGTGGGTTTTGGAAGCCTCTTATAGTATTATTTTATCGAGTTTCGGCTAGATTTATTGTGAATAATGAAAACTCAGTATGATTTCAAAGAAAAAATTGCCAGTAACGTGAATTGTGGTGGATTGTGGAAGCAGTGCAGATCGGGACCATTTGCTGTTTTGTCACATTCCTACTGTAATACTGTGAAAAACTCTGAGCATTACCCACAGATGAAGAATCTATCAAGAAAAATTAGGGAAACGTGGATAGCAGCCATCAAGAGAAAGAATCAGCAACAGAATCAATCATAATAAACCTGAGGATATGTGGCAGACACTATTTTCATAACAGGTACCTAAGAAAAAAGATTTTAATATTATTTATATGTACCTACCTACTCTAGAACTGATGAGTTTAGTGTTTCATCCTATGGAAAACTTATCTTTTTTTCATTTTGATAAAATAAACCAATACTCATTACTTTTGATGGTCCTACATAGTTTGGAAACATCATGTTTCTAATACATAAATTCATCATCTACCTTATTGTAGGAGAACGTAGTGCCTGAAAGATTAGAATATCCAGCTTGGGTCCCATTGCAATATAATATGGGTCATCAATCTCTTGTCCATTCGAAATGCAAGACTGATGTGGATCAAAAACTGAGAGCAGACAAAAGGTTCAAATCATGAATCAAGCATCAGAACCAAGAGACCTGGTATGTTCTCAAGAAAACACCTGATTACCTAATACTACTACTACATCATTTTTCATTTATTTTAGTGTAATGAAGAAAGTGTCCAGGGAGATAAAGAAATAGAAGAGAAAATTGGTGAAAATCTACAAGATTATAATTACTTTTACAAATTACAGTCTGTTGTGATTTATTTTTATCAATTATAAATGTAAGACAAATAAAGTAAGTATATCAAAATAATTGTAATATTCATTGAATGAAAAATACATTGTATTATTCTACTATATTACAAAAGATCTACATTAGTCATGAAAAAATCTTCATAGAACATTATAGTTATTCAGTGATCTGATTGAAACAATAATAAACAATGATTGAATGATATATTTATTATGAATAGGTACATATTTTTTTATAGAACTTGTTGAATCAGAATTCACAAAACCATGCTGATTCTGGTGTACCTAAAATATCCGCACATTTAAAATAGAACCATACAATTTCCCTTCATCACTGTGACAACTAGTCATAGTGGTTCCATCATCAGCACTTGAACACTTACACCAATAGTTCACTTCTGGTGAAATTAATATCCACCCAAAAGTCCAGGTATTATAACTTCGGCATGAAACTTCAAAGCAATTTGTGAATGTTGTTCCCAAAAAACACGTTTCTCTGGACATTGAAGATATAGTAGGGATTTTGTATTAAACCATTCAGAGCAACTGTACCTATGTCCATTTCTGCTATTGGTATGATGGGCACAATCATGGTGAGAGTGGTGGCATGGGTCACAAAGCACATACATCAGTACATGAAACTGTTCCTTATTTACTTGCCCAAGCCTCAAGTTACTTATTAGCACAGAATCTGATTTTGAGTATTTTACCTAAAAAAAATTGCATAAGATATACATGAATATGAGGTAGGAAATATATTTAAAAATATATGAATAACATAATTTCATCATTCAAAATGTTCCTATCATGAAAGGTATTTAGGTATAAAAGTAAAAAGTTACCTTTCCATCTATGACATGAAAATCATTCATCTTCCTGTCTACTTCCTGGACAAAAGTTGCTGAAAAATACTTGTGAACAACAAGGATTTTGAATGCTTTCATTTGCTCATGAGGGTAGAAACTATGGGTCACTATAAATAGTAGGAGAGTATAATTATGAGGTAGTCTAATCAGTCAGCAGTTTCAGATGTGGAGGGCTTCAAATCCTTGATCAACATCAGCTTCGTCAGATATCTACAAATTATGGTTGTATGATAGTTTCAGGAATGAAAATTTACTGGTTGGTTGAGAAAAATAGCCGAAAAAACAATAAATATTCATATTAACCTCTGACCAACCTCTGGGTTTTCCTGCAATAACTTCTGGAAATATGAACTCAGCATATTGAAGCACTGTTCAATTCAGCTCCGAGACTCCCTCAAACACCTGACACATAAAACTACCAGAATAATAGGGTGATTCGGGCAAAATACAATTTAATTACAAGTGATGTATAATCTTTGTTTGCCAACCAGACGCCATCTTGTCAGCTAAAATGTCACGTGGTTTGGATTGCCTAATTGAAAACATCCATATTAACTGAAGTACTCACGCTTTGGTCAAAATATTATATTATTTATTGACTCAAAGTTCCATTCACCTGACACCATGTTACATTTATTAGTTTCCTGTTAGGATTGCTTCAATATCAATAATAAATGTTCTATTAGTTTTAATAGTTTTTAATTAACGTTCACGTCCATCTTACAAGTGGCATTCTATATGTGTGTCATTAGTGACATCTGACATGTGTCTTCACGACAGAACATAAAGATATGAGTGTAATAGATTTAGATCACATTGCACCAAACTTACACTAGACATATAGTTGCTATATGTAACAAGAGTATACTATCTGTGGTGCTTTTAATTTTTTTTGTGACATAGCCACAAAAATATGCAAAGGCCTCCTCAACTTCCGCAAACTCTTCTTCCATTTCTGAAATCCCTTCATTCAATTGTACATCAAATACATATCTTTTTTTTTCGTGGTTTCAGCTCTCCAACTTGAGGCAGTGACTTTATCATTTCACCACCAGTGACAATACTTCCATGAGGTGGTTTGGTTAGTGAATGAAGAGACATCAGTCTGAATATATACCTGCTGTTCCCATCATACCAAAAAAAAATTTGAACTTGAAAATTCTGTTATGATTTCATGAAACCCTCAAACATACTACACTAGAAACCAATATTTGATCAGTACACTGGATTCCTCTTTCAACCAGCAGGGTACATTGGGAAGTGGAAGCTTCTTGAAAATACTGATTAGTGTATATTTTCTCTTCAATATCAATGTGACAATGACTGGAAAATGAAATTGGGATTAATGAAATAAATCAGACAATATTTCTCAACTGTTGTTTATTTAAGTATTGTATGCAGTGTTACAGAACATATGAAAATGTACAAAGGAATAATTAAATTGCCATGTTTTTGATATTCACTCATTGCAGTCAATAATAATTGTGACACTTGGCAATAACAAAGCACTTTCAGAATATTACTATAATATTTACATTATTTTGAATCCTTTTCTATTTCTTCTTCTTTTATCAATTTCTCCTAAGCCATAATTTATCAAGTTCATGGGTTCAAGTTTGTATTCTGATAACGAATTTTACTACTCTGAGATGTCATCACTAAAATAAAATAATTGTTAATACACTTCAGATATGTTGGACTCAGTCATTTTATATTTAAAATAGGTTCAAAACAGTTTCAAAGTAATGAAAGATTGAATTATCTGAAAACTGCTACATTGAACATCATACAAAAGATAGAATAATTTATCCAGAAATATATATGCAATTGGCACCTTGAGTAGGTATATTCTAATGCAACTAATTAACTCAGTACAAAAAATCCTGTAGATATGTAATAAAACATTGAACATAATTAATGTGAAGAAATATAACATATGTTATTGAACAACCTATTTCATGAATAAAAAATATAGTACTCAATAAAAGTATAGGTACTCACTATTTTGATGGAAGAGATTGGTGTCTCAGTCGTAGGGCACCAATGGAATCTTGAGGGAAATGATCTGAACATACCCATCCACAATAAGGTGGCAAAAATTTCCCAATTGCCAATATCCACTGAGCAGGAATAAATATTTTCGTCCTAAGGGAAGATTTCCGTTCATATATAATTCATTAAGTATAACCAGTATATGATTCCAATTGAAATGATGAACATCATCAAAGGGATTGATTAATGCTTGTGGAATTCTTATATGTCCCAAGTAGATTTCAATCATCTTCATCCAAATCAGTTGGATTCGCTAACTACTGATAACATAAAAACGATACCTTAGGGATTCAACAAACTATGCAAAATTCCATTTTTTTCTGGTCTTTAAAACTATGAATTCAAAACACAACTGGAATACACTGGTAACAAACAACCAGGAATCGAACAACGAGAAACGGAAAGAAAACACAACAAATAATAACACGAATAAATTACTCGAGAACACTGGATAACTCGAACAATGAAATACACAACAAATAGCACTAAATGAGAAAATAATTGGTCAACCACAATATAATTATTCAAAATCTCTGAAAGATTTTTCTTTCAAAGTTGTCACCTATCAAAGTTGAATCCTGCCATGTTGACAACGGAATCCTTCTTTCCGACCACCAAAATAATCATCCGTTCTACCAACCTTGACTCTTAACGCCATCTATAAATAAATAGAGAACTACTCTTATCCCCTCCAAAACGGGTCGTCACCTTTGCTCCAGAAACAATTGAAGAGTCGACCCACCAGTCCTTGTAGCCATCTTATAGCGTTTTCCACTCGGCTACACTGCGTGCGACTTTTGTGGGTGCAGCACTAGCAGCAGGGCTGCTATTTTCTAACTCATGCGAAACTGTTCGCATGCGAATGCTCGTATACGGAAATTTTTCGCATGACAGTAGTTTTCGGTATTTTCGATGCCATGCGAAAACCAATTCGTCTCGTACAACTATATTCGGATGAGTTAAGCCGGCAACGCTGTATAAATGCAGTTCTACCACAACTATACCAACGAAACCTCTATATTATTTATGTCAATTGTCAATTTTTAATTTTATTTTGAACTGGCAGTGATGTGATTTAGATTTTGTTGTTTGATAGTTGGAGTAATTAGTATTAATAATTGTACATATAATTATTTATATTTGTGATTGATAATGAGTGAAAAAAAAAGAACTGCAAATATGTCACCCAGTCAAAAGACGGAATTGATAAATTTTATGGATAAAAATCCAGAACTTCGGTCTGGAAAATTCACCAAAACTTTTACTTTTAAAAAGTCACAGGAGCTGTGGATAACGATTACAAATTCATTGAACAGTCTTCCTGGCGCTCAAAAAACATGGCAGCAATGGAGAAAGGTAAGTTTTGAAGAATTTGTGAAATAACTGATTTTCTTCAGTTGTACCCACTATCAATAATTGTTTTAGACGTGGCATGATCTTAAAATAAGCGCTAAAAGGAAAACTGCAGAGGTTAAGAAATATCAGAGAACCACAGGAGGAGGACCAGCTCTCCCGAATGAAAATTTATTAAATAATGAAGAAATCCAAGTTGTTAACATGATGGCTCCAGTTGCAATTGAGGGACACCTTGTAGCTGAATCATCAACATCTTTTGAATTTCCAGATCCATTTATTAATGAGGAGGAGTTTGCTAATGTTTCTCGTAATGTTTCGATAGATGAACACAATGAAGTGATTTTGCTGGTTGAAAATGAGGAAACTGCTTCTGACCATTTATATTATGCAACAGGTAGGTTAGAAATACATTTATAGCAAAATAAAAACTGTCATCAATCAGTTGCTTATGCCTCAGGCTGATACACACTGAAATCATCTGAAGAACTCTGTTTTTGTTATAAACTGTACTATTATGAACCTTGAATCACAAATTTTATAAGTGAGCCTTTCATTTCAACACAATAATAACGATAATGCTAATGTTAATTTATATGGCCATAGTTCACAAAAAAACTTTTTTATTTCTATCTAACTTAAATATTCCATATTTATTCTTTAAATTATATTACAAAACTTATTTAACCATTCTTATTTCAGAGAAGAAGGATGATGGTAAAGAAAATATTGAATTGCCTTCAAAACCGAAACGTTCTACAAAAAAATTGTTTCAAGTGCAAAGATTAAATCAAACTATAGCAGCAACTGAAAAGATGGCAGAACAAAATGAAAAAAGAAAAGACCAAAAAGGACTATATGAAGCTCAAAAATTAAAACTATATGAACAGGATATTGAAGTTAAAAAGCGTATAGCTTCAGCACTTGAAAAAATTGCTCAAAAAATGTAATATCCCTGCTGAACAGTTCTATTGTGATTGTATTTTTTGTGTATTTTTTCTGATTTATTATCAAGAATTAATTTTTTATTTGTTTTGGTTATGATACAAGGATTAATCTCAGTACAAACAATTCTTAAGAATTGTCTTCGCCTATGTTTCAGGTTGTGAATTTTTGTTTTATTTATTATTAAAAAACTTCTTGTCATGTACTACTGTGATATATAAATAGTACTTATTTAATAATGTTTTGTTTTCGTTGCAATATCTAGAATATTTTTCATTTGCTTTTGTTATGATCATAGGTTTAGTTTCAATATTGACAATCCTTAACAATTTTTTTCACGTATGTTTCTGTTGTGAATTTTTGTTTTATTTATTATTAAGGAACTTCTTGTCATGTGTGACTGTGATGAGTATTATATAGATAGTACTTATTTAATAATTTATTGTGAAGTCAAAGTTTGGGACAAACAAAAAAACTTGATATTTCAATTAATAAAATGTATTATGAAAAATGGTGTCTAATTACATGTTGTTGCATTCTTCTTCCTCTGGCTAAATCTTCGTTTACTCTATGCCTAACATTATTATTTTCAATTAGTCTTCGCATGTCATACATCCCGTAATCTAAATCAATGTCATCCTCGACTTGGACAATGGGTACAGCATTATCAATACACATGTTGTGTAGAATACAGCAGCTGTTAATTATTTTGCAGCAACGTTCTGGAGAATAGTGAAGTACACGGTGCTTCAATAAACAACGAAATCTGAGTTTTAAAACTCCATTACATTGCTCAATTAAAGACCGTGTACTTCTATGGCTAATGTTATATCTGTCCTCGGGGGAGCCTTGCAGAGCATTGGCTATTGGTGTTAATAGCCATGGCCTCAATGCATAACCAGAATCACCTGTAACAATGAAGAGTGTCAAATACTTATTTATACTCTCCAGTCCTCCGGTTTACAAAATATACAATGTTGGGCAAGAAAGGTTTAATTGGTAAGAAACAAGTTTTTGTTATAAGTACCGTAGAATGGGGTGACTTGATAAGATTTTTGACACACTTCCATAGATTGCGACCTTACCATGCAACTTTCAACCAAACTAAAAATAGTCACCAACTCTTTCGACCCTAAAGAACAGAACGATACATTAAAACCGTTTCTATATAGTGTAGTTTTCGAAAAAAAAAATGTCAAACGTCATATTTCAAGTCACCCCAATATGGGGTGACTTGAAATATGACTTCTTATCAACGATTATTTCAAGTAGGATGGTCTAGGTGGTAACATGAAATGAAAATTAAATAAAAAATATATAGAAATCATCAATTTCATAAAAAAACACTGTGTTTTAGAACAAATATTTTTTAGCAAAATACAAAAAAGATAAGAAACTACAAAAATAAACAAAAAATCATTAGAGAGGTAAGGTATAACTAGACACTTACAAATGCAACTTAGAGAGATAAGTATGGTAACTAGACACTTATAACTGAAGTCCTGGGAACTTCAATGACGCTCTTCTTAATATTGTTGGAGACTGAAGTTTTCTTATAATTTCTCTTTTATCGACCAATGATTCTTCCTGTACTGGAGGAAAAATATATGTAAATTCTATTTTAGAATGTGCTCTTAAATATGAAACGACAAAGGAATCATTTTCGGTAGTATCTACGATTTTTGCTACAAACTTCTTGGAGATATTCTTTGCCGATTTCAGTTCGACTATAACAAAGTCGTTCTCCTGGTAGTCACTTGACGAGTTTTCTGGTTCATCTTGATCCGTCTCCTCGGTTTCTTCATTTTCAGCTATAGTGGCTGAAAGAGGACTATTCTCCTTGTCACTTTCAAATAAAACCGATTCATCATCTGAGGTATTATCACTGAATCGTCTTGACCTGGGACGCTTTCTCTCCACAAATTCATCCCAAACTTCTTCTTCCTCTGTTTCAGATTCTGGACGAACTCTAGTTTTTTTCTTGGCTTTTTGTTTTGAGGGGTTTGAAGGACCAGGCTTCGTGCTATTGTCCTTCTTAGTTGCATCGTCAGATTTTTGTGAATTAGGTGCAATATCTTCAAGTGCGATGCTTTTCCCTGGTTGTACATCCAGTTTTTTCCTTCTTCCCTTTGAAGTCGCGCTGGTTCCATAACGGGCCTGCTGGAAAAGCTCTTTCAGTGCATCTGAAGCGCTAGTTTCTGCTTCCCGTTCTGAAGGAACTTCCTCTGGAAGTTTTTTCAAGATTTTCTCTCTACACACAGGAAAAATGCCGGTGCTTTCGAAACCAGAGCGAATATTGGCAGCATTTTGACTGTCGATACTATTTAAAGCCTGATTTAAAAGCCGCGGAAATACATCTTTGCGCACGACACCTCTGTTGCTTCTTTTCCAGATCCGCAGAATTTTGCGCCAAGCATTTTTAATAGGGCGAAAGACACTGACATCCAGAGGCTGAGTCAAGTGCGTACTATTTGGCGGTAGTAACACAAATTGTATATTGTTCTCGGCGCATAAAGAGATGACTTGAACTGAGATGTGGCTTGCCAAATTATCGCCGATTAGTATTTTTGGCCCTTCTGGTAAAGAGTTAAAATATGGTAGGGCTACTGTCACAAACCATTCTTCAAACAAGTTGGTATCAAACCAGCCTGACTTGCTTCTGTTGTAACGGGCTTTAGGTAGACCGTTTTCCATCAAACTTGACCAGACGTGATCAGCCTTATACACAACGTATATAGGGAGCATTTTTCCTGAAGCGGAAACACTAAACATAACAGATGTTGCTGCCTTTGACGAATCCATAATTTTTTCAGCCCTTTTGCTCCTTCGTCGAACGACAACTTTTACACGTCCAGGGTCATCCGTGAAATTTTTTTCGTCGTAATTTACGATGGCTTCTGGCTCAACATTGCGTAATAAGGATGTTAAATTATCGAAGTATTGGTTAATAATTCGGGGGCTTATTTTTGCCCGACTTTGTTTAATAGCCTGTGAGAGTCTGCTGGAAAGAACATCTTTATGTCTTGCTAAAAAGCCTAGGTACCACTCCCTTCCCGGCATGTTGTCGCGAAATATTGAAACAGTAAGACCTCGTCTATTTAGATAACTTTTAACTAAGTCTCTTATGTCGTCGCATTCCAACGGGAATCCCCAGTCAGCAGCTAATGCAATAGATTTCACAATTGCACTTTCATCAACAGTCGATAATATAGTTTGACCACCTGGTGATTTTTGGTGTAAATGTTTCACCTTACGATACAAAGTGGCAGCTGGAATTCCATATTTTTCGCCAATAGCTTCGAGACTCCCTTGATGATTCTGGTAGTCCCGAACAGCTTGCTGCAGTGACTCCAATGTATAATTCCGGTAATTTCTAGCGCCTAAGCGCCTTTTGTAGTTTCTAGGCATTATTTCAAGTCACCCCTAAAAGTAAAAAAAAAAAAATAAATGATACGCCACTGTTCAAGAGTAGGTTTTAAAAATTATTTTCGATGCAAAACATTGACAAATATCTTGGAACAGGCCAGAAAAAAATACTAGGGCATGCTCGTAATTATACAATTTATTGCACAGACAGAAGTATGCAGGGTATAAAATTACGTAATTTGTTTACCTGATATCAAAGAGTTACCCACTGTACACTATGACTATCACGCACTTGTTATTTACCACAATGTCTCGTCGACAACCTGTAGAATGAGACTGAAAGACTAGTTTAGCTTCTTCCGTTGACATCCCTGCCAAAAATGTCTCATAGAAACTTATAAAAAAATATATATGAGAAAATATGAGAAGGAAGTTGGATAGTGAAACAGTAATTGCGTATAATCCTATGTATTTTGCAGATACATATATAATCAGTTTCTAATGGCGATCTCTCCCTTTCTCTTATAAGTATGAACTGTGTTTCGCAGATATATCAACAATCAGTTCCTAATAGTAATTCCTAATTATTCACATATGAGAATATATGAGAGTCAAGTTGGATAGTGAAACAGTGATTCATAAGCTCGAAATGTATTCTGCAGTTACATTTATGATCAGTTCCTAATGGCAATCCTCAATGGAGTCGATGAGTTTGAACTGTAATTCACAAATACATTCATAATGGGTTCTTAATGGCAATTCACTATTAAAACATCGTAATTAATGATTTTGAAATGTGTTCTGCATGTACATTCATGACAGGTTCCTAATAGCAATTTCCAACGAAGTCTTCGAGTATGAACTATGTTTTACAGATACATTTATAATCAGATTCTGATGGCAATTCCTCATTGAAACACTGTGGCATTCATGAGAATGGAATGTGTTCTGCATATACATTCATGATGAGTTTCTAATAGCAATTTCTTTCAATCTCTATGAGTATGAGCTCTGTTTTGCAGATACATTTGAAATCAGTCTCTAATTGCAATTTCTCATTGAATCAACGTGGCATTTATGAGTTTGAAATGTGTTTTGCAGATACATTCATAATGAGTTCCTCATAGCAATCATCATCAGTTCCTAATTGGAATTCCCCATTGGAACACCGTAGCATTTATCAGTTCGAAATGTGTTTGACAGGTACATTCATGATGAGTTTCTGAATGAACTCTATTAGTATAAACTCTATCTTGCAGAAACATCCATAATCAATTCCTAATCGGAATTCCTTATTGGAGCACAGTGGCATTTATGAGTTTGAAATGTATCCTGCTGGTACATTCATAATCAATACCTAATAGCAATTCCTCAGGAACACTTGAAGTAAAACTTTGTTTTGCAGATACACTTATCATCAGTTCCTAATTGGAATTCCTCATTGAATTACCGTGGCATTTATCAGTTTGAAATGTGTTTCACAGGAACATTCATAATGAGTTTCTATTGGTAGTTCTTCACGTACTCTATGAGTATAATCTGTGTTTCACAGATACATTTATAATCAGTTCCTAATAGCAATTTCTTTCGAAGTGTATTACTTTAAACTCTGTTTTGCAAATACAATAATAATTATAATAAGTCCCTAATCGGGATTTTTTTAATACCTTGGCATTTATGAGTTCAAAGTGTGTATTGCAGATACATTCATAGATAGCTTATTATAGCACTCATATGAAATCTACGAGTATAAACTTTGCATATACATTCATAATCAGTTACTAATCGGAATTTATAACTGAAATACCGTGGTATTTACGAGTTCAAAATGTGTATCGTGGATACATGCATTCATAATTAGTTCATCATAGCAATTCCATATGAAC